ACCCCGCCCTCTTGAGTGGATTTGCTGTGGTAGCAGTTGTGTGTCCAGCTCCTCCCCTGAGCCAGCCTCCTCGGGCAGAGCCGGGAAGGACCCAGGCATGGCCCCTGCCAAGGGCAGCATGAAATGCCAAGGAATGGCACGTCCCATTTTGTGATGCTGTCAAAGGGCTATGGGAGTTGAGAGGTGCGGGTGGGTGTGTAGTCAGGGAGGGCTTCCTGGAGGAGCTGGGCTTTGACCTCCAAGGGTGGGTAGAATGTGGGAGGGTAGGAGAAGAGGGCAGTCCAGGTGAGAGGAGTGTGGGTGGGAGCAGCTTCCCCTGCCGCCTTTTTTGGAAGGCTGAGACCTGCTGCTTGGTACCAGGCGCTGCCTCCTCTTGAGTCCTGAAAGCTGGTGAGAGCCGCGTGCCGCTGAGCCCCTTCTCCCCGGCCATTCGCAGGTGGCGTCAGAGCTGGGGTTCCTGTCTGTGGCAGCCCGCGGTTTCGGGGCAGGCAGGGCAGGGTCAGCCTGGGGCTGGGGGGTGGGGGGGACCGACAGGGCTGGGAGGAGATCAGGGCGGCTGAGGAGGCTGTCCAGGTGTTGCTCTGCACCCATTCACTGAGGCGATCCTCGCAGAATCCAACAGGGAGGTTCTTCCGGTCCCTGGGTTACAGTGTGGAAAACCGAGGCTTGGGGAGGATGAGCCATGTGCCCAGGGTCACACGACTAGTAAGTGGCGGGAGTGGGATCCTGCCAGCCTCCGGCCCAGAGCCAGTGCTTCCTAGTCAGACATCTGTCCCCAGCCACAGGTGAGGGCGGGAGAGTCACGGCGCCTGCGAGCCCCTGCCTTTCTTTCTGTTGAGTGGGAAGGAAAACGCTGACTTCCTAGGGCTCCGTCATTCCTTTCACAGGTATTTATTAAGTTCTTACCACACAGGCACCGCCCTCGACTCTGAGGACCCTGAGCTGACCAAGGGTGTCCCCAGGGTCACAGAGGACTCGAGACTCAGAGCTGTGCTGTCCAGTAGACATCCAAAGGGACTCACACGTGGTATTTTAAATAGCTGCCTTGCAAGTACAGGGAAATGGGCAAGATTAATTTTAATAACATGTTATTTAACCTAGTATATTATTAATAAAAGGTTATTATTTTGACGTGTAATCAACATAAATTGTTTTATATTTGTTTTTTTGAGACAGTGTCTTGCTCTGTTGTCCAGGCTGGAGTGCAGTGGTGTCATCATAGCTTACTGTAATCTTGACCTCCTGGGCTCATTTTTGATCCTCCCACTTCAGCCTCCCGAGTAGCTGGGACGACAGGTGCACGCCCCATGCCCAGCTAATTTTTTTTTTTTTTTTTTTAGAGAGAGAGTGGGTCTTGCTATGTTGCTCAGGCTGATCTCAAACTCCCAGGCTCACGCGATACTTCCACCTCAGCCTCTCAGAGTTCTGGGATTACAGGTGTGAGCTACCTCGCCTGGCCAGAATAATGCTTTTAAATACATAAAACGAAAGAGATGGGATTACAAAGGAAATATATTTCACCGAGAGAACTATCAACATACTTTAAAAAAATCAGTGAAATGATAATATGTATCCTTAGTTATTATTGCATTACTAAGATAATCCATTAGGCAAATTGAGGTTAAATTTTACTTTTTAAAATGCACATTGGTGACAAGGCTGTCGTTGCTCAGCTTCCATGGGAACACTAAGCAGGGCAGTGTCTTTGAGGGCGAGGCGTATGTCCAGCATGGTGGACACCCAGGTGGTTGTGATTTTTTGTTTTGATTGTTCCAAGTGTTGCAAATCCCACTTTGCAAATGGAGTCACAGCTTCTTCATGGCTAGTTTTATAAGGCAAGGATACGCTCTGTCTAGGATTGCTAGGATACTGGAAGCGTGTTGAGTTAAACTCGATTTTGAGAACCCATGGGAGTTGGTGGGAAGTGGTCCAAGAGCACCAGGTGCAGAGTTGCCTAAAGTTGGCCAGTTATGTCACCCCAGTGTCTGCGGACAGGGGACTGCGGGCTTGTGTGGTCCTCTGTGGGTCTGATAACTACTGTTGTTTAAAGGAGCGTTAAGTGCAAGCGACCTTTCCAGATTCCACTGCAGTGTGATGTGAAAATGTCTGTGAGTTCTGTGGGTACCACCTTGTGGCTCTGCTGATACTCCAGGGGCGGTGGCCTGCACTCACGGTCGAAGGAAACTTAGAAGTTAGGAAAATAAAGGCATAACTGCTTACAAACCATCCAGGCTCATGGGTCCCTCGTCTCACAGTCTTGTCTCATCCCAATCCATCACCCCTGGTGTCCTCCCAGCAGGGGTTGAGCACTAGGGACCCACCCACACCCCTGCCCTGCTGACCACTGTCTCTGCTAGTGGACAGCAGGGGTATGACCACTAGGACCTCCAGTCTTAGGAGCCAGGTCCCCCTGACGCTGGAGGGGCTTTCAGACCATCCCATCCCTCACTGTCATTTTGTGGCTGTGGACGTGGAGGCCCAGAGAGGGGGAGGAAGTTGCTCAGGGTCCCATAGCCTGTGGTCAGGAGGATGAAGGTGCTCTCTGGCTGGATCAAGAGAGATTTAGGGTGAGAGTTACAGAGTGAGAAGCCCCAGGGTTGCATCCTCCTCTAGACATTTTGGAGGCAGGCTCAGTTTTCAAAGGACACTGTCCCTCCTCCAACACCAGCTGCTTGCTCTGCCCTGTACCCTGCAGCTGTACGCATCTGCATTGTCTTCTGGCTGCCCCCACAGGGCACCAGCTGGGGCCTGTCATCGCCTGTGGAGCCCATGAGAGGCGAGGGTGGCCAGAGCCAGAGCCATGGGGCAGGCGGGGGAGGACAGGCGGAGGTGTCAGGCCCAGCCCAGCCCTTGGGGATGGACCCTGGGGCCTGGCCTTGGCCTGCAGCCGTGGCCAGCTGTGGCCTCCTGCAGGCCCTTCCCATGTCCTGTGCATCGTCTCTCCCTTGGGAGACCCGCTCTGTGCCCCTGTCCTAGAGGCTGTTCCCACACATGCCTCCTCGGCCCAGCCTGCTGGGAGGGGTCTGGGAAACTTTGGTGAGCGCTGTTTGGGGCTTGCCAGGGCTGGTGCAGTGGAGAGAAAGTTCTGGCTCTGCTGTGGGCTGGGTGGGGTGTCCACTATGGAGCCCCCCCCCTCTGAGCCGCCTGTTTTTTGTTTGGGAACATAGAGGCTCCTTCCCTCCACCTTTGACAAAAAAGGGAGAGAGAGAGAAACAATATGGTGTGCAGAGCCCTGGAGATGGGGCTCCTGTAAACACGAAGTGTGTGTGTTAACACAGCTGTCACGAGGCTCCTGGGAGTTTTCAAGGATGACAAGGCTGGGCAGGAGGGGGGGCCCTTTCCAGACGAAAGGACAGGCCGTGGTTTGGGAAGGTTTTGGGAGGGACAGGTGAGTCTGGAGGTCAGTTGTTCTCTTTGAGAGTCCCCATGCAGGAGGTGGCTCTGGGGATGGGGCTTGAGTGTGTGGTGTTGGGGAGGCCTGGGGAGCAGAGCCCTGATTCAGGGCCCCCATGACCCCACCATCCATATCTTGGGGTGCTGCTGCTGGTTATGGGAGGGCTGGGCGTGGGGGTAGCTGGGACCAGATAATCCCCTCTGATGTGGAGCAGCTCATGTCTAGCTTGTGGCAGCTGGGAAAGTTGTCGTGTTCTGAGGACTGCTTGTTGTCCCTGTGCTTCTGCAGAGTGGAGGGGGGGGACGGCAGGGCAGGTTGCTCTCCCACACCGTGGTCCTAGACCATCAGTGCTACGTGGGGCCAGCGGCCACTGAGCTCCCAGAAAGTTCTGTGAGCCTCTGTCTCCCACGCCTGTCGCCTTCCGCCTGTGTGGAATTCCCAGTCCCCACCCTCTACCAGCCTTAAAACGTGTCCTGGCCCCTTCCTCAGCCACTCTCTCATTTGCTTTAAATAGGGTTTAACTACTACCCAGTGTTCAGAGGAGAAAAATCAGAAAATACAGATAAGGAAAAAGGGGAAACTAAAAATCGCCTGTAATCTCATCACTTGGCGACAACCGCGGTGGCCTCCTGGCGTGCGTGCCCACGGGCTCTTCCCGTGCTCCACCGTAGCGCGTTAACGTGGGGTCGTAGCATGCACTTGCTTTGCAACCCAACTCCATCCATTTCCTATGGCCTGGGTGCCTTCCCACGTCAGTCAGTATGATATGCAATGGCTGTTTATCACTCCACCTTAGCGATGCCCCATAGTTTATTCAGCAAACCCCCTGCTGTGGGCTGGCGGTGGTTTCCGCCAGTGTCTTGTTGCAGACAACACCCAGTCAACACAGCGCCACGGCAGCCCCCTTTTTGCATCCATCCGTAGGTGTTCCCTCATGAGAGAGCTTCCGGGAGGGACTGCTGGCTCCCCGCTTCCGGCGGCGGAAGCCTGCCTGTCGAGGATGTTGAGATTGAGCACAAGGGCCCGGTATTTTCTCTGGAACCTTATCTGCTGAGAGCTCACCTAGTCTGGACTTCTCTGGCCTCATTTTATGTAATTCGTGGCTATGATGTCCTCCTGCATCCTGTTCCCACCCAGATCCTTCAGGTCCACGTCTGGCTTCCCTCTTTGCAGCTATCCGCCCTGGTTCTCCCCTCCGGATGGCGGTGCCATCTCCCACTTCTCCCAGCCTGGGCAGCCTGGCCTCTGTCTATACCTCCTGAACCAGTCACTTACAACCCAGGGCCCTGACCTGCTGTGGGTGGTACGCCCCTTCCTACCTGTCTTATTTTCACCAAAAGGTGTGTAAACTAAGGGGCCAGGGGCTGCGTCTTTGTGTCTCTCTGTCTGTAACTCCCCCAAAGCATCGGCAAAGGGCCAGGCACGTCTTAGGCGCCCAGCGAGCCTGTGATTTTTCTGAGCACCAGAATGTTGGTGGCAAGCCTGCCTCCGTCTCCAGCCGCAGAGCGAGCTGCCTCTCTCTGGATGATGGAGGGAAGGGGTGGGCCAGGTCCCTTCCTGCCACAGCTTTTCCCACCCCTTCCTTCGCACGCCCTCTCACCCGCAGGTCTTGGGTCCTGAGGCTGCCGGCGGACTATGGGTACAACAGCCAGCACAGCCCAGCAGACGGTCTCTGCGGGCGGCTCCTTTGAGGGCCTCCAGGGCGGCGGCACGATGGACAGCCGGCACTCGCTCAGCGTCCACTCCTTCCAGACCACAAGCTTGCACAACAGCAAGGCCAAGTCCATCATCCCCAACAAGGTGGCCCCCGTGGTGATCACGTGAGTGGCGGGGGGAGTGTGCCCATATCCCTGGATGACACGCCCCCGGGGACCTGCTTGGGGGTGCAGTGGCACACAGCATGTCATGCTTACAGACTGCTTTCAGTTTCATCGATGAAGATGCTGAAGCCCAGAGAGGTTAGCAGTTTGTCTGGAGTCACACAGCAGTGGGTGGGTGGCAGAGCTGGGTCTCTGAGCCCATGTTACTTACTGCGTCCACACTGCCCGGGAGCATGGAGGAGGAGGAGTGGCTGGAGGGACCCCCCTTTTGAAAATAATTTTTGCCTGACCATTTTCATAGAAAGTTTATACACTTAGATGTGTGAAATTTAGATTTTGTTTTTTCACAGCCAGTAATTATGGCTCAAAACTGAGGTTAATACCAGGCTGTGCAAGGGCCTTGGGCTGGAAAAGCTGGAAACTGCTAGTCGCCTGAGTTAGGTCCTTCAGGGACGTTCCCTGAGGAGGCCGAGGGAGGCCAAGGGTTTGTTCTGGCAACATGTTTGAGAGAGAGCTGGACACACCGCATGCGTCCAGAGGAACAGGGCCAGCAAGGGGCCCTGAAACCCCATCTGTCCCGTGGGGCTCAGATGGAGGAGCGGGTGCTGGGGAGCCCTGCTGGGGGGACAGGAAGACGAAAGGGACACTGGGTTCATCCCCTGGTGAGTCAGGAGGCCTCGTACCTTCCATTGCACCTGCCCACTGCACTCCCCTGCCTCTGGGCCTTCCAGGCTGCGGGAAGCACAACCTGATGAGCTAAGAATGAAATATGTTCCACATATAGGAGTTTGGCAAAGACCTAGCAGATGGGGCCTTTTGTATAAGGAAACCTGAGGGGTGGAAATGATAAATCCTGGCTGCTAGCTTTGGGACCTATGGGAAAATTGCAATCATAATAAATTACTATGCTGTGATGGGGGAGGGGAGGAGAGGAGATGCTACATAAAAGAGACTCGGTATGTAGTCTCTGTACTGACAGATGACAAAAGTAGGTTTGGGCCTTGAGGCATCGGAGACACATGCCCCAGGCCTGGCTCTGCCTCTCCTTTGCTCTGTGACCTTGGGCAAGTCCTTTGCCCTCTCTGGACCTCAGTTTCCTTATCGACATAAGCAGAGATGACATTCAAAATATTTAACCAAGTGTTGTGGCTGAGAACAGTTGCTGGCCAGCTGTGTGTAAGGCCTGGAGACAGCTGTGAATGCAGCACTCCTTGGGTTGTAGAGTGTTTGAAGGGAACTTTAGAGATCACCCAATCAAGGGATCAGCAAACTACATCCTGCAGGCCAAATCTGGCCTGTCACCTGTTTTTGTAAATAAAGTTTTATTGGAACATTGCCACTTCTATTCACTTACACGTTGTCTGTGGGTGCTTAGTGCTTCAACGGCAGAACTGAGTAGTTGCAACAGAGGCTGTATAACCCACAAAGCTTCAAATATTTACTCTCTGTCCTTTGCACAAACGGATCGCTGACCCCTGCTCTAATGCATTTTAGCTCAAATGTGAAAACTGGGTTTTAGGGAGGTAGAGGGATTTGCCCACCACGGGTCATGTGGTGACACGGAGGCACAGCTGCAGTGGGAACCCAGGTCTCTCGACTCCTCAGCCAGTGCTTCTCCACCCCACTCTACCCCACCCTCCCTGCCTTTCCTAAATGCAGTTCTTTCCTAAAGTGGACCGAACACCAGGTCATGGACTCCGAAGGCCTGTCTTACTCATTGTTATAACCAGCTTTTGTGCTTGAGTGCACAGTGAATCTGGCTGGAGTGTTTGGACCTTTACCTGGTCTAGCATGTATAGAAATCTTGGTTTTTACCTGTTTGTTTTGTTTGAAATAGGTCTGTGTGGAGGTAGAACTACTGCTAGTAATAATAATTATATTAATAAATGCTTACTGTGCCCCAGGCACTGGGAGAAGCACTTAACATTCATTCATGGCTGGACAGTGCTAATTCTCAGACTAGTCCTGGGAGGTGGGAATTCCTGGAAACCGAGCTGGTTGTCCAAAGCCATGGAGTTACCAAGCAGTGGAGCTGGGATTCGTGCTCCAGAGCCTGTGCCCTGAGCCACCGCGCTGTGCTGTGGGTTTGGCAGCGTGGGTTGTTCTCAGACACGATCTGATGGAGGGGCCATCTGATGACGGTGTCTTAGGGTGCAGGTTAGGCCACTGTAGCAGAGTGACAATGCCTCATTTAGGATGGAAGCTCATCTGTCACTTGAGAATCCAGTTTATCCAGGCTGGCATGGCTGCTCCATGGTCGTCTAGGCTCCTTCTCTCTCATGGCTCCATCATCAACATGTGGCTCCCATCTTACGGTCCAAGATGTTCTGCTTCTGCCATCACTTCTGGATTTTAGCCAGGGAGAAGGAGAGAAGCAAAGTAGAAGGCACCTTCTGTAGGAATGGCCAAGAATTTGCACATGTGACTTTTTCTCACATCTCATTGGCTGGAACTTAATCACATGACCGCACCTAATTGCAAGGGAGGCTGGGAAATGTAGTCTTCATCTGGGTGTCCCAGTCCTGGTGCTCTCTTGCTGAGCAAGAAGGGGAGAGTGGATACTGGGAGACAATGGACAGTCTCTGCCACAAATTGTAGCCACTGGGTGGGAGTGGGGTGGCCCTGCTGTGGGCTCTGGGGAGGGTAGAGCGGACCTTGACTTGGAGGTTGCTTGACGTGGTTTCTATTCTGCCCCTGGCAGGTACAACTGCAAGGAGGAGTTCCAGATCCATGACGAGCTGCTCAAGGCCCATTACACCCTGGGCCGGCTCTCGGATGTCACCCCTGAGCACTACCTGGTGCAGGTGAGGTTAGGCCCCACCCTTCCAGCCTCCCCCTGCTGCCTCCTGCTTTCTTCCCACGAGTTCGCTCCCTCTCCTCCCTCCTACTCTCCTCTTCTTCCCTACCTCCCCCCGCCTTCTCTGCCCATCTTCAGAACTGGCAGGGCCCTAGGGAGGGGCCAGCACAGTTGTCCTCTGGTTGATTCCTGGTGCCCCAGCTCTGACTTCCTCCCCCCTTACCCTCAGTGTGCTCCCTCTGGGGGCGAGAAATGTGTGCCTTCCTCTGGGGAGCTGCAGGCCCTACCCTAGAGCTGGCTTTGCCCCTGGAGTGTGTCTCACTGCTTATTCCTCAAGGCCTGGCTCAGATGCCACCTCCTACAGGAAGCCTTCTCTGATTCTCCCTAAGGAGGAGGTGTTGTTCCTTTCCCTGTACTTTATGACACCCTTCCCTAGATCACAAATGATCCTGTATTTTGTCTGTTCTTTCTGTGATGAGCCACAGGCAACTTGAGGTCAGGATCATGTTCCTCCCACCCCCATTTCCCCACTCCCTGTCACCTGGAGCCCAGGACAGAGCCCTGCCTGTAGAAGATGCCTTTGAGCTGTCTGGGTGACCCTCCTGTGGCTCTGCCTTGCCAGGGCCGCTACTTCCTGGTGCGGGACATTACTGAGAAGATGGACGTGCTGGGCACCACGGGGAGCTGTGGGGCCCCCAATTTCCGGCAAGCGCGGGGCGGGCTCGCTGTGTTTGGCATGGGACAACCCAGCCTCCTGGGGTTCAGGCGGGTCCTCCAGAAACTCCAGAAGGATGGATATAAGGTAAACATGCCACTTCCAGGCAGGGGCTGGCCCCCCAAATCTGGGGAAAGGGGCTCCTGGGAGGGGCAACAACTTAGAGACTCTGGAGAGGCCTGGCTGCATGCTGGGGAGCGTGGGTGGTAGCCTAGGCCAGGCCCTGCCAGGATGGTCCTTGTGGTTGGGAAGTTCTGGTGAGTGTTTATTGCATTGTCCTTGGTGGACATGGGAGCCTGAGGTCAGAGCCCCTTATACACCCCATTCTGAGAGCCTTGGAGAGAGTGAGGGAGGTGACAGGGTGACAAGAGGGGCCAGCTCTTAATTCCAGAGCTTGCCAAGTGATGATCACAGCTAACACTTACTTCCTCATGTTAACCCTGTAAGAGAGGGGCAGTTGATCTCCCATTTTACAGAGAAGGAAAGTGAGGTCCAGAGAAGCTAAGTGACTTGTTCAAGGTCACCCAGCTCATGAGTGATGCTCCAAGACCCTAACCTGGAAGCTGGACTCCATGTGTCTGCTTTTGGTGACTCTTCTTATCTGCTGCCCGATGTCTGTCGAGGCAGGATTTTGCACGTCTCCAGGACAGAGGCTGAAGCTCTGCTTTGATTGCAGGCTCTTCAGGGGGCAGCCGGCATCTGAACTGCCCTGGGGTGAAGGTGGGGAGGCCTCGAGTGAACCAGAGTGAGGTGGGGGTGCTGGCTGTGTGCAGGTCCATCCTCTCAGCTTGATGATAAGTTCCCGGAGGGTGAAGCCTGCCCACGTCTCCCTCTGCCTGTATGGTGCTCAGTAAATGAGTGATTGCAAGGTGGTGGTCATGGCGTTTGTTTCTTTAGCTGGTGTCTGTCAAACGCCTGATTTGTCCAGGGCTCCATGCTAGGAATTGTGGGCACATGAAAATGACCAGGGCATGAGTCTCCTGTGAGGAGCCTGTGTCCGTCAAGGGAGGAAAGTTGCCTTCATCGATAGTGTTACTGCAAAGCGGGAATTACCACCAGGAGATTCAGACGGAGGACTCTGGCCCTGAGAGGAGGGAGGGTTCACTGACTGGGAGGGTTAAGAGGAGGTGGCATTTGGGCTGAGCTTTGCCTCTGGGGCAGGATTCAGGTTGCAGGGATAGGGTGGGGTGCTGGGCCCTCCAGGGGCCTGGGGTGGGGCAGCGTGGTGGGGTCTGCAGGGTAGTGGTGACGGCTTTCTCCCACCTCGGGCTCCTGGCAGGAGTGCGTCATCTTCTGTGTGCGGGAGGAGCCCGTGCTGTTCCTGCGTGCTGACGAGGACTTTGTGTCCTACACACCCCGAGACAAGCAGAACCTTCACGAGAACCTCCAGGGCCTCGGACTCGGGGTGCGGGCAGAGAGTTTGGAGCTGGCCATCCGGAAAGAGGTGAGGCCAGCCTCTGCCCTGGCGGGCCCTGGGCAGCTGAGCTGCGACCTCAGCCAATAGCCCAGCCTGCAGACACCCTGTGGGGCCTGCCTGTGTGCTGTCACCAGCCACGCTCCCCAGCCTCCACGCCCTGCTCAGGAGAGTGGCCGGCTGCAAGGCCGGCTCAGGCAGCAGAGGCAGGACATCTATTCCCAGCTCGCGTTGCCTCTGCCCCTTTCCGCCTGCTTTTCTCCTCAATGCTCAGCATCCTTACTTAGAAAGGGGTCTGGTGGAGTGAAAAGAGCCCTATACCAGGAGGCCCAAGATGGCAGTTCGCCCTCCCTGAGCTGGGAGGCCATGGGCAAGTCTCCTGTCTTGTTTGGCTTCTGTGTTGGTCTATTCTAGAATTCCTTTGTCCACCTCGTCTTCCCCAGCACAGGCTTGTCGAGGTCGCTGAGACGCCTGACATACCACTGAAGTGTGTACATAGAGTGCGGGGGTCTGGGTGCTGCAGAGGCTCCCGTGGGCAGGAACCATGGCTATGCCAGAGATTGGCCATCTCCTGCCTCCCCTCAGGCCTCCTGTGCTCTCTGCTCCAGCTCCCGGCTGACCGGCAGTCTGGGGACTTAGCGAATTCCTGCCACCCATTGGGCAGAGTCCTCCTGCCTGGCCCAGTGTGGGCCACAGTCGGCCCATGCCTGGGTGGCTGCCTCGGGCCCTTGGCCACCCAATCCCTTCAGACTGCCACCCAGGGTGGGCATAGAGGGTGCCTCTGGCCATGTCATTCCCTCTTGGAGGGAAAGAAGGCTGTCTGTGGCCTCTGTGTGGCCTGGTCACTCCAGAGCTCAGCGAGGACGCTCAGGGAGGGACCCGAAATTCAGGTCGTGGCCCTCTGACCCCACACCTCCTTCTAGATCCACGACTTCGCCCAGCTGAGTGAGAACACGTACCACGTGTACCACAACACCGAGGGCCTGTGCGGGGAGCCCCGTGCCGTGGCCATCCGGGGCGAGGACGACGTGCATGTGACCAAGGAGGTGTTCAAGCGGCCCCTCTTCCTGCAGCCCACCTACAGGTACCACTGGCCCTGGCCCGCGTGCCCGCTGCCCGTGCTCTCGGGCCTGCTCGCTGCCCTGGCTGCAGTGTCACTGTCTGCAGGTTGGGCCTCGTTCCCCTCACCCCTCTGTCACACGGTGGGGGCATTTCCAGCCTGTGCTGGGCAGTGGGGGCTGCGGGGACACCCCACACGGCGCCTGCCTGATGGGCTGCTCCCCTCCCCTGGCAGGTACCACCGCCTGCCCCTGCCGGAGCAGGGGGCTCCCCTGGAAGCCCAGTTTGATGCCTTTATTAGTATCCTCCGGGTAAGTGGGGGCACAGGTGGGTGTGGGGTCAGGCTCCTCAAGAGTCGTCTCCATGGAGGGCCCAGGGTGGACTTGGCCTCTGGCTTTCCTCAGGGGTCGGGGGCCTCCTGTGCTGTGTGTGGGGTCGAGTGTCGGGGCGTGTGTTAGCATCTAAGTCTCTGAGTACGTGTCTGTGTTTGTATCTCTGTGTCTCTGCGGGGTGTGTACATGTCTGTGTCTCTGTGTGTGTATCTCTGTGTCTCCGTGGGCCGTGTGTGTACACGTCTGTGTCTCTGCGTGCGCACGTGCAGGCGTGCGCCTGTGCCTTCTCTGGTGACAGTCCAGCGCTGACTGGGAGGACTGCACTCTGGCCGCGGCTCAGCTGCTAACCTGCTGTGTGGTCTTGGACAAATCACCTCGCCTCTCCAGACCTCAAGTTCCTCGCTCCTTTAGTGGAGCCAGAGGTTCTTACCTTATAGACTCTTCAGCTGATGTCTCCCAGGTCCTGGTGGGGTTTCTGTCCCAGCCCCTTCAGGACATCACCTTATTTCACCTGCATCTCACAGGGTGTTGAATGCAGGGCTAGTGCTCGCTCTGAGCAACTCTCACGTCACCTGCTCACTCCTCCCAGGCCTGGGGAGGGGTGGGGGGCGGATGGGCCGTGGGTTTGGCAGAAGAGGCTGAGCCCGCCCTGCCGCTGACTGTGGGGCCGGGATGGGCTGATGGCACGAACCCCCTTCCCTGCCCGGGTCCTCAGCCAAGGGGTTTCTGGGTCCCACTGTTGCCCGATATTCACGGTCTTTCCCCAGGAGACCCCCAGCCTGCTGCCGCTCCGAGATGCCCGTGGGCCTCCCCCTGCCCTCCTCTTCAGCGGCCAGGCGGGCAAGTGCAGGACCAACCTGGGCATGGTCCTGGCCACCCTCATCCTGCTTCACCGCAGCGGGACCACCTCACAGCCAGAGTGAGTGGCCTGGGACCCAGTGTCCCAAGGGGCTGTGGGGCCGAGGCGAGATGGGGACAGGCTGCCCTGGGAATGATGGGGACACGTCCAGGAGCTCGGAGCCAGAGCCGGAAATTGGGCATCTGGGGTTCCTTTCCTGATTTGCCACAGACTTGCTGGGTGGCCTGGAGAGAGTCACTTGACCTTTCGTGGCCTCAGTTTCCTAGTTAGGGAAATGTCCCTTGTTTCTCCCAACATGGTTCAGAAGGAGCCTGGTGCCTCCTGTTGGCCATACGCAGAGAGAGTGGGCAGCATGGCCATCCCAGAGGCCGTCGGGAGCCCTGCTTACCTACTGACCCCTGCCTTGTCAGGGCCGCCCCCTCACAGACCAAGCCGCTGCCCATGCAGCAGTTCCAGGTGATCGAGAGCTTTCTCCGCACGGTGCCCCAGGGAAGGAAGATGGTGGAGGAGGTGAGCGATAGGGTGGGCAAGGAGCTAGGGCAGGGGCAGTGGAGGGGACGGCCACTCCTCTCACCGGGGGGTGTCTTCCCCTTCTCCTTGCCAATCCTCCCTTCCTTCTCTCCCTTTTCTCCTTTCTCTCCCACTGTCTTCCCTTGTCCCTGCTCCCACACTCCGTCCTCCTCTCCCCTGCCCTGCTTCCTTCCACCAGGTGGACAGAGCCGTCACCGCCTGTGCAGAGCTACACGACCTGAAAGAAGTGGTCTTGGAAAACCAGAGGAAGCTAGAAGGCATCCGGCCGGGGAGCCCAGCCCAGGTGAGGTGTGGGAGGAGGCGCGAGAGTCTCTGCTCTTGCAGGATCCCCGTGGCCTGATTTCGTTAGGTCTGTCGACTGGTTTCTATCAGAGTGACTTTCCCCGGCTTCTGCTTCTCCCACGAGAAGACAAGGGGAGCTCGGCTGCAGGAAGGACAGGGAAGAGGGGAAGTTTACTTTCTCTGACCAGGTCCCTCAGCTGCGGAATAAACAGGATGGAGGAAGGGGCTGCTGGCCAGGGCCTCTGGGCTCAGACACTTCCCAGAGCACTCATGGCTCCCCCACAAATCAGCTCCTGTGTTCCTTTGGGAATCCTAGGGTTTGGTCCAGCTGCTGCTCTGGAAGAATGCTGGGCTCTGGGCTCTTGGCAGACCCTGTCCCCATGCCCTGGCGCAAAGGTGGGCTTGACGGTGTTTGTACACAGTGCATGGAAAGAGTCTAAAGACTGAAGAGCCTTTTTCTTCTTTAAGATATATATGTATTTTTTTGAGACAGAGTCTCATTGTGTTGCCCAGGCTAGAGTGCTGTGGTGTCATCCTCGGTCACTGCAACCTCAAACTCCTGGGCTCAAACAATCCGCCCGCCTCAGCCTCCCAGAGAGCTAGGATTACAGGCGTGAGCCACCGCGCCTGGCCCCTTCTTTAAGATATTTTTAAAAATATATACCTTTTGGGCCTGGCGTGGTGGCTCACGCCTGTAATCCTACCACTCTGGGAGGCCAAGGCAGGAGGATTGCTTGAGCTCCGGAGTTTGAGACCAGCTTCAGCAAGAGCAAGACTCCGTCTCTACAAATAATAGAAAAATTAGCCGGGCGTAGTGGTGCATATGCCTACAGTTCCAGCTACTTGGGAGGCTGAGGCAGGAGAATCACTTGAGCCCAGGAGTTTGAGGTTATAGTGAGCTAGGCTGATGCCACTGCACTCTAGCAACAGAGGCAGGGCAACAGAGCAAGACTGTCTCCAAAAAACAAAAACAAAAACCGGTTCCAATAAAAAGAATTTGAAGAGCTTAAAAAATGTTTTTTTTGAAAAATCTTTTACAAGCAATATTCTATGATAGAAAATTGAGAAATTAAAGAAAGGAAAAAATCGCTCATAATCCCAGCATAGCTGTTGTGAGCATTTTGGGCTGGTTTCTTTCATTTTTTATGTTTATGATTTCCCTGTGTAGTTTGCCCTAAAAAGTGGTTTGCACCCTGCTTGTTCAGTTTCACTTCGTAACATGAGTCTTTCCCGTGCCAATACCTGGTTTTTGTCATTAGATTTCTAGTGGCAGCATACCTTACGCCCGTGGCATGGTTCAGCCACCACTGGCCTGACAGGAGTGCGGGCTGTGACCCAGCTTCCTGGGTTGCGTTCCTGGTTTTGCCACTTGCAGGTGTGTGGACTTGGCAACCTGCTCAACTACCCTGTGCCTTCATTTCCCCATTTGTAAAATGGGGCCAGTAATACTAACTACCTCACAGGGTTGCTGGGGGTGGGGGCGGTTAGGTGAGATAAGATAAAACACCTAGAAGGGGGCCTGACACAGAGCAGGTGTCCCTGGAATGTCACCTGTTGTGATTTGCTAAACAACCCCCTGTTTTTGGACAATTGAGTTGCTTTTAGTTCCTCAGCAGGGTAAATACTTTTGCATTGAGCACCTTCATGAAAATGAAGGCTTTTGTGCATCCAAGATTCTTTCCCCTTAGTCTAGGTTAGGGGTCAGCAAACTGTAGCTCCTGGGCCACATCCAGCCCGTCACCTGTTTTTGTAAATAAGATTTATTGGAACACAGTCTTCCTGTCTATTTATGCACCATCTGCGACGGCTCTTACGCTGCAGTGGCGGAGCTGAGTGATTGCGGCAGAGACTGTGTAGCCCGCAAACGTAGAACGTTTACTAACGGGCCCTTTATAGAAAAAGTTCGCTGACCCCTAGTCAGGATTCCTGAGGATGGGATTAAATGTGATAAAAGGGTTTGACCCTTCTTTGGGACCCATATGAATCTCACTTGCCCTCCAAAGAGTACTGACCCCGCAGGAGCACCCTGAGATCTGAGGGTTCTCCCTGACAGCACAGCCCACTGTGCCGAGGGCGCTGGGCTGGGGTTAGGAAACTTGAGGGACCCAGCTCTGTTTGCTCTCAGCTGTGTGACTTTGAGGAAGTCACTTCTTTCTCTGAACCTCTGTTTCCCCTCTGTAGACCCTCGGAGCACTATTACGAGAGCCTTTTCGTTTTCTTGTGGGAGGTTCCAGTTCTTAAGGGCAGGCCCCTGGCTCAGGGAATGGGTGTTCGTACACTTGCTTCCTCAACGTAGTCCTGACACGGTAGGAGTCATTGGAGCAAGGCGAGGGAGCCCTGCCTGTCCCCGGGCCGGGAGCCCGCGTAGGAAGGCAGTCCCTGCACCGAGCACCGAAGGGCCTGGTGGGGTCACCTGCAGGTCTCCCTGCACCACAGATTAACTGCAGCAAATGCAATAGGGTTAGACGCTTGGAAGAACTTTCCAGCCTGGCGGAACTGTGTCACGATGGAGAGGGGAAGACTGGCTTCTGAGGAGTTCTGAGGCCTGACGCCTGCCCTTCTGGGCATGGGGACAGGGCAGCCTGGGGAGTCCCATCTTTAACACCCTGTCCTCTCTCCCCACCCCTCCTCTCAGGGAAGTGGCAGCCAGCACAGTGTCCGGCAGAGGGCGCTGCTGAGCCTGGAGCGATACTTCTACCTGATCCTGTTTAACTACTATCTCCATGAGCAGGTGGGGTGGGGAGGAGCAGACCTCTGCCCCCTCCTCCCAGGCTCCTCCTGGGGCTGTTCGACCCCTCCCCGCCACGGTGACTGGGCTTGCTGTGGAGTGGGACCCCCGAGAGCCGGGAGGAGAGTTGGGGAGAGGCAAGAAGAGACCTAGATAGAGGACGGTCCCTGAGCAGGCCAGGCGCAGGGAGGCCCCACCTCCCTCCCTGGGCCCAGCCTCTTCACCCGTAGCCAGAGCGTCTGCCGTCCTGGTCTTCTCTCCTCCAGCCCCTTGTTCCTGTCCTGGCCATGCTGGGTGTCTCTTGGGGTTCCCCCGACCATGGGGTGGGCAGGGAGCATTCAGGTGGCCCTGTGCCCCTGAACCCCTGTCTCTCTCTGCCTCGGGCTGCAGTACCCGCTGGCCTTTGCCCTCAGTTTCAGCCGCTGGCTGTGTGTCCACCCTGAGCTGTATCGCCTGCCTGTGACGCTGAGCTCAGCAGGCCCCGTGGCGCCCGGGGACCTAATCGCCAAGGGCTCCCTGGTGAGTGTGGCTGTCTGGGAAGTGGGGATGGGGGGAGGCCCTGGGCCCCCTGGACACTTGGTTCCCGGGGCTGGGCTGAGCACTGCCCTCGCAGGAGGCTCTTGTGAGCAGCATGGGGTCGTTCTCAGTTCCCAAGAAGCATTGGTAGCTCTGGCCTAGCACCTGTTCTAGCACCTTCTTCTCAGTGTCAAACCCAAGGTCTTTGGGCAGGGTGCCAGGAGATGTGGATTCTGGCATCTTTGTCCCAGCTTCTTGTCTTTGAGCCTCAGTTTCCTCATCCGAGAGCGGGCACCGTCACTCTGATCTCTGCCAGTGTGGTGCTGAAGCTCCAGGTGTGCAGACGTGCTTGGCAAACTGCAAAGTGCTGGTTCCGTGCCCCCTCTGCCCTCCGTGGGCTGGGTCCTGACCACTCTGTGGCAGCAGTTGGCTGCTATGGGACCCAGGCTCGGTGCTCTCCCCACAGGGGGCGGATGATCTCACCTCCCTGGACGTGCTCAGCACCGTCAGAGAGATGGACGTGGCCAACTTCCGGCGGGTGCCCCGCATGCCCATCTACGGCATGGCCCAGCCCAGCGCCAAGGTGACCACTCCTCAGGGTCTGGGTGCGCTTGTGGGTTCTGGAGGAGAGGGCTGAGCCCTGTCACTGATGGCCCTCCCGTCCCCCCAGGCCCTGGGGAGCATCCTGGCCCACCTGACCGACGCCAAGAGGAAGCTGCGGCGGGTCGTCTGGGTCAACCTGAGGGAGGAGGCCGTGTTGGAGTGTGACGGGCGCACCCACAGCCTGTGGCGGCCTGGGCCCCCTGTGGTCCCCGACCAGCTGGAGGTGAGGCCTCTGGCCTCTCCACACCCCTGCCTTGGAGGCCTTCTGGGGAGTTGGCCTGGGAGGGTCTTCAGAATGTCCCACGCTCCTGCTATACATGGGGAGAAACTGAGGCCCCGAGAGGAGCAGTCTCAGGGAGCGGCTGATTCGGGTCTCCCGCTCTGGCGCTCTGGTCTCCTCCTTGGCCCTGGGGGTAGTTGTGACCTCTGAGGCTCTCGGGGGTCGGGGACGGGCCTGGAAGCCGGGACGAGTCCTGGCCGTAGCAGGACTGGCCTTTCAGGGCTGGCCTGGAGGCTGCCTCAGTGGCCTGTGCCCTCTGGCCTGCCCTTCCCCAGGCCCTGGAGACCCAGCTAAAGGCCCACCTGAGTGTGCCTCCCCCGTGCACGGAGGGCCCGCCGACCCACAGGTTCCAGACGTGCCTCACCACGCAGGAGGTCTTCAGCCAGCACCACGGGGCCTGCCCCGGCCTCACCTACCACCGCATCCCCGTGCCAGACTTCTGCGCCCCCCGCGAGCAGGTGAGGGGGCCGGGCAGGGCAAGGCCTCTGGGGAAGGACGGGGGCCTCCCCTCTGGCCTGGGTCCAGGGAGGGGAAACCACCCCAGCTCCTGTGGGGCCTGCGGCTCGTCTGGCGAGGTTTTCAGATTTGTCCCGAGGGGTTTATTCACATCCCTTCCAAGCTTTGCGTGTGTGCGTATGCATGTGTGCGCATGCGTGTGTGTGCGCATGCACTTATTACATGTCGTAGGGGGTGTGCACGCTTATTAATGGTTGTGTGTTGGGGTGAGCACGTCTGTGGTGTTTGTGGTGTGTGTGTCTTGGGAGTGTGTGTGGAGTGTGCAGTGCTGTTGTGGGGTGTGTGTGTGGCGCATGTCTTTTCATGGAGTTTGTCCTCACTGGGGATGCATGTGGAGAGTGCGTCTTTAGGGGAGGGGTGTGTGTGTGGTGTGGGGTTTGCGGAGGAGGATGGGCTGGAACGCTTGTGTGTGGCTCTGAGGGTGTTTGCACGTGGCGTCCGTAGGTTTGTGATGCATGTGTCGTTGTGGGTGTCTGTATAGTTTGTGTGTCTTAGGGTACGCGGATACACCTGTGGGTCCTGTGTGCTTGGCATGTCGTAGGTGGTCGGTGGTCGCTGTGTGCCCGTGTGATAGTAGTGAGTGGGGCTTGTATTTCCTCGCTCTACTCTGTGGGTTTTGCTGCCTGCAGCGTGTGACCCCTGGTGGCGTGTGCTGCAGGGACCGTCTGCTGCCCTTATGCTGGGGCCTGGGCTGGGTCTGGTTAGGTGGGCGGCAAGGCCAGGGCTCCATGTGCAGCCTGGGGCATGGCACACAGGTGGGCCACGCACATGCGTGTGTCCTGCCTGGCGGAGGGTGGGCCACTCGAGTGCCAGGCGCATGCTGTGTCTGCTCACACATCAGTTTGGGGTGAGAGAGGTCACGACCTTACACAGGGTGCGGCCATTTACGCGCATGTGGTGTCATGTGTGCTGCAGTGAGTTGCGTGTGTGCACGCGGGCTCGTGAGCCTGGCACAACCGCCGGGGCTGCCGTTTGGATGGGGCCCACGCCAGGAGTTTGCCTATTGAAGGCACCCACTGACTCGGACCTTGGTCCCCCGACCCAGGACTTTGACCGGCTGCTGGAGGCCCTGCGGGCCGCCCTCACCAAGGACCCGGGCACCGGCTTCGTGTTCAGCTGCCTCAGCGGCCAGGGCCGGACCACGACTGCCATGGTGGTGGCTGTGCTGGCCTTCTGGCACATGCGAGTACGTGTGGCCTGTCCTGTGAGGGCGGGGTGGGCACTCAAGCCATGGGGACGTGGCAGGAAGGTGTGGGGGTCAGAGACAGCCTGGTGTGGTCCCTGAACCCCTCCTGCCAGTCCTGTGTGGCCCCCTGGCAAGGAGCTCCTGGTGTGGGGGCGGGTGCAGCCTGGGGAGAGTGCTCCCATCCCAGCAGCTGTCCTCCCCCAGGGCTTCCCTGAGGTGGGCGAGGAGGAGCTCGTGAGCGTGCCTGATGCCAAGTTCACTAAAGGCGAGTTTCAGGTGAGCACGGCTTGGGGGTTCCCTGGGGGTAGCTGAGGGAGGGGAGGAAGAGGAGTCCTGCTGGGGTCCTCAGCCTCTTCCTAGTTCTGTCACCCCTTTCTTCTACCTCATCATGTCAGTGCTCACCTGTTCCCATTTCACAGATGAGCCAGCGGAGGCACAGGGCAGCTTGGCTCTGGGGCCCTGGCACGTGGCCACTGGAGATGGGGCTGGACCCTCCTCCCGCCTGGCCCTGCTGCAGGGCTGCCGTGTACCCTGGGGAGGTCACTGGCCACCATCTGGGTAATGTTGATGACAGCCTCCCAGACACGTGGGACCCAGCTGTGGTGGGTGACCTAGGTGCGGGGCCCCAGCGTGCTCTGCCCTGCCCGTTCCCCGTCTCAGATCAGGGCACTGGATGGGCAGCCACTGACCTTCCAGACTCAGTCACTCATGTGTCGTGCTTGCCATGTGCCACGGGTCATCTCCTCAGACATCCCCTGAGTAGGTGGCAGCGTCCCCTCAGAGTTGGCATGTGGCCGTCTGGCGTTCGGTGGCATGGCTAGCTCCTGCCTCCCCCTCCCTGGCCACCTTCACCACGTGCCCTTGCCCTGCTCCCGCCGCCAGCCATCCTGCCACCCTGGCCAGCATGCAGTTCCTCAGACGTGTGGAGCTCTTGCAGCCCCTGGGCCTTTGCACATGCTGTTCCTTTTCTTAGGACCTCTTCTCTTTCCTCCTTCTGGCAGATTCTCTGATTCTTTTCTTTTTTTATTGTGGTAAAATATATATAACAAAAGTTGCCATTTTAACCATTCGAAGTGTACATTTTGGTGGCATTAAGTATAATACATTTACCATCCCACCACCATCTAACTTCTATCGTCTTGCAAAACAGGAACTCTGTCCCCATTAAATACTAACTCTCCACCCTGCTTTGCTGGCCCCTGGTGACCACCATTCTCCTTTCTGTCTCTGGATGGGGCACTCTAGGAACCTCACAGAAGTGGAACCACACAGTATTTGTCTTCTTGTGACTGGTTCCTTTCCTTGAGCATAACGTCCTCAAAGTTGATCCATGTTGTAGCATGTGTCAGAATTTCCTTCCTTTTTAAGGCTGAGTGATATTCCATATTTTGTTTGTC